CAGTCAAGATTTCATTCAATCAATAGAACATGGGAAAAATAATAGACTACAATACTGCTTCGAAGTGATCCGGTCGTAAAAGAACACTTTATTTTCGGTGTCAATGGAAGAAGCATTAAATAAGAGAGGCTGCAAAAAACTCAATTAAGAAATTAAACTGCAGATCAAGTTGGCTTCCAAGCATCGCTCATTAGGGAATGCTATAGTATAAATAGGAATATAGTGACAAATGAGAAGAAAACTTTCTCGTTCTGGAGGCGCATCAAAAGTCATGAAAGAGGTCGAGCAGGATGTAAAGAATAAAAGCCAATCAATAGCTAACAATAATTCTACCCTAAATTTAGCAGCTTACGGAAATGCATTAATCAGCAAAAGGCCACCATGATGAAATAGATGAGGACGAAAATAACCACTATTATGACCACTGCACCAAGTCATAATCAACTTCCAAGTTAGCGCTGCAGGCAAAATTGAAGGGAATGAAGTTGAAGATATGACTATAGCTTATAAAAGAAAGATGGAGCCATTCAAAGTAAAAGCCAAGGTACAGATTTCTACATGTAAAGAGATAGCTGACGCCTAAATGTATGTATCGATCAGTTATAGACTTCAGCAAGTCATGAGTGTTGTTCAGTGTTCACCTTGTATAGGTAGGCATGACACTCATAACAACATTTTTTTCACTTAATTAAATTTAAGTCATCATGCCTTGGCACATTGGTATTCCCATTTGAAAATAAAAAACCTACAAGAGGTGACATGAGGAATATTAAAACACAAAGTACATCTAGAGTTCAATCAAATGGAAATGTAGAGGACTAGGAGAAGTAGCACGGGTTGAGTCAGTTTGAAGGTAATATGAACATGAGTACACCATGAATTTACAATGCCAAACAATTACTTTGGGAGTAAATCTTGGGGATGTATAAACTCTGATCAAGTAGATATCGATGCATTAGCAAACTACGAATGAATTTTGCTCATCTCTAACTGCCAATTTTAGTCAAGCCAAGATGATAGTGATGTCTATAGGGAGCAAAATTAAGGCAAAGGCATGAAAACTGAACACTGTGTTGACATGATCCCAAGGAAGCATAAAAAATGAGGTTATGTCAACTGCCATACTCTCAATAATATAATGTTGAAGAACTATTGGCCTTTTTTGCATATTGGTGACTTGTCAGATCAATTGGAAACTAGCAAGTATCTTCACCAAATCGGATCGGATCTCAAATATGGATATCAACAGAAGCGCATTAATGAGATGGATACTTGGAATAAAACATTCAAGGCTAGACATGGGTCCCAATTATTTTCAATGAGAACGATTATACGACTTCATTAGTCTTTCAAGATAATATATCAGTGTTCAAAAAATCATTGAAATAGCATTTCAAAAAGTCGGTTACACCAATTCCATCTCAACCAAAATATAGCCAGAGATCAAGATTGATCTTGAAAAAGTGAATAAAGCCATAGGTTTGCAACTAAAAGGATAATATGTGAAACAACATAACCATAAACAATTTAAAGCACCACGTTCTTCCTCTACCAACCTAAACTACAAAATCTAAAACCTAGCCAAAAGTTATGAGGAATACCGAGTTCACTCCACAGGCCCGCCAAAGAAAAACTACATGATCCAGCCAAAGGAAATGACACCATAGTAACCACAAAGTAGTACAAGGGTAAAGAATGGAATCCGCATCAACATGCTTCATAACTTCCCAGCTCTTATAGAAAAAAAAAAAACCAATTATTCATGCCAATACTGATGAGTAAATGGCACAAGGTTTTAAAAGAAATTCTTGTCATTGTAGTGACATATTTGACTAAAAAAAAATTCATAGCAATAAAAGGAGATGGATACAGGGGATGAGAGACTCGGAGAAGATCAGCACAAACATTAGAATGAGATAAGGCCGAATGATGTTAAAACTGTTGATCTCAAGCTATGCCATGATCATTTTGATAAATCATAAATGATAGAAAGAATCAAAGAATTAGCCTTGTTGATGCCATAATTCAAATTATTATTGAAAAAAAAATGTTAATGTCATCAGAGTGCACAAGAAAAGTTGGTACATGCAGTAAGAAAAAAATGTACAAGCACAATGAAGGCCGCCATATCTAAATGTGTGGTAAATGACAATTACTTCGTCGCAGAAGAATACCACATAAAACAAATGAAGCATACAAGTGACCACAGCTCAATGAAAAACTGGAAAGAGAATGCTACCAAACATTTCCATCAGAATTTATCAATGCCATAACAAAGTTCTATAAGCAGGCATTTAAGCATTCTCATAACAGAGTCAGGAACCATTTATAAAGACAAGAAAAACGGGAAATTGTTGCATTTTTCAAATGTCAAAAATATAGTAAAATTTTACAAAATAAACTTTGAATGCTCATCAGAACTTGACTAGAAATGAAACAATGGACAACTTAGACCTTTGGGACAAAGTCAGAAGGATAAGTAATTATTACAAAAGGTCTTCAGGGCAATTAAATTACCTTCTATCCCGAACTACACGAACATCAGTGACACGACCAAACTTGGAGAACTTCTTCTCCAGATCTCTCTCTGTAGTCACATAACTAAAACCTGCAATAAATAAATTTTTACCAGGCCGACCAATTCCAGTGTTGCGATTAGGAGGAGGGGACCATGGCCTCCTTGATGAACGTTGACGAGGATGATATGTTGGAGGTGATCTACGCCTTGGAGATAGCCTCCTGAATAGCCAAAGTTGACACAAAAAGGATCAGACTTGCCACTGCATGAAAATAAAAAACCAAAAGAACAGGAACAGATCATAACAATAATCATGTGGAAAATAAACACTAGCCAGACATTGTAGGAAACTAAATATGTTTGAAATAACTCCATCTTAAAGAAATCCTTTACCTCAACCAGGTAAGAGAATCTTGTTTTAACATTTTTTTTCTTAATCCTCTATTTACTTAGATTCTAATGTGGCCCTTGAACTAGAGCAGTTCTCAAAAATAGTTGTCACAAAACACCACAAGCTCTATCATTTTCATACACAAAACTCACAACTTATCATGCATCTTCTTATATATTTTTTAAGGTTCCTGCAGTAAAATTTCGTTAAATCAGCAGCCAACATACTTGAATACTTAAGTCTTCTTTAAAAATACTCGAACTCTGTTCAAACTTAAAAGCTTTACAAAGGTGTTATAGCTTAAGCAAAAAATGAGTGAAAATAGAAAGGAACTTAGATATTAACTAGGGATCTGTTACTCCTCTGTACTAAAACTTGCAACTTCAACAATCGTTTGTTGAGAGAAAGAAATCAAACCACTAATACTAAACATGAATGTGTTAAATGGCAAATAATGCAGCTTCAAGCTCAAGCTGCATTAGTTGTGCAAGAACGCAGTGCTGGAGGCTAAATTGTCAAGTAAAATGGTTACAGATCAAGGATTTTAATGCAACTTGAGATAAGATGTAAGATAAATAAAAATAATAGTAATCAAAATGTGTAGGTTTCTAATTCATAAGTTTAGCAAAAAACAGTTGCTTCTAGTTTCTGGACAGCAAACACATTATATTGTTCCACAAAAACAATTTAATAATTGCCCAAAATCTGAAATTTCACAAGAAAACAAAAACGAATAATAAAATTCAGATACTAATCAACTTCACAGTTCAAGAAGAACCCAAACACATATCTAACTTGATAGTATAATAAATTTTCAATCACTAAAAAAACAAAGAGCTAAACAATTTAAAGCACAAGAATAATGTAAAAAATACCCAAAAATGAAGAATCAAGCCTCACAAAGATACAAGGAATCTCCCCTGGAAGTATTCATCCACTTTCTACATCTATAAAGCACTCAATGAACTAATATGCGGCAAGCATTCACATGAAAAAATTCACCCTTCATGGTTCAATGAAATTCACATGCCTCATAGAATCTACATATAGCCCACAAAGAAAAAAAATAGAAAACTTCATGAAAGCTATATAAATATGCTAAAAAAAAATACAGTAGGTTTCAAATAGTTCCAACATCAGACTTTCTCCTAAAGTCCAATTCCAGAAATTCATGAAGTTAAGGATCATATCTCTATAGTAAAGGGATGTACCGAAGAAGATGGCAAATAAAACAACAGACATATGGGAGCACTGAAGGAACTGTAGCATGGAGTAAATTACTGCAATTGAAGTAGCGGGGTTAGAAGGTAGCATGGTAAATTAGCAGGAAAGGCAGCATGCAGTAATGTGAAACACAGAAGCACAAAAATAAGGTTGCAGCTTGCAAAATTAGCAAAAAGCAGCAAATTAAAACCTGGACAACAGTGGGATTAAGCTTTAACAATAGCAATAGAATGGGTAACAATGACCAAACAGAACAACAAATTGATCAGGAAGCAGGAACAGAGGGACATCAACAGGGAAGGACAGCGAAATGAGAAAATAATAGTTGCAGTTATGAACAACTTGCATCATGGCCTAGTTAGAAACTCAAATACATAACAATTATTCAAAATACAAGATAACACATCATGCTCATATACTTGTCAGCAGCATAGACAAGTTTTATATAGAGCGAACTGTAAGGATAAAAAAAAAAAAAAACAGATAAAACTCATATAGATCATTACTTTCTAAGCTCTTGATATAAGTATACTTTCAAATTTCAATCGCCATAGCTTGAGAATATATAATTAGCGAGGTTGCAGACATTGAACTCTATCCAAATGTAAAGCAGGAGAGCTTGAGGCTTCATTCGAGACCTCAAACCTCTAACTTAGCCAATAAGAAGGAGCTCCAGTTCAAAGCAACATTATTATAGAAATGAAAGAAAACGGAACCTTCGTGAAATTAGAAATGATTGTGTACATAGTTTGAAAAAAGCAACTACATATTTGAAATAGCAACTTGTTTTAATAAATTATTAATAGATAAATAGGAAGCTTGCCATATATACATGGGTATATATGAGGACGGATTTCACAAGTTGATATAGAAAATTTTTGCAAGGAATTCGAAGGTCTTTGGTTGGAGAAATGAGGAGAATTTCAATATGCTTAAGTTTTAAATAGCATGATATTAAATGCATGTTAATCTCCCATGCATATAATGACATTAAAACATGTCCTCAGTGGGATGTGATATGACAAATATAAGCAATGTATCAAACACTCTTCAATATAACTTAAATAGTAAAATTTGATCTGATTGTAAGAAAAATTGTGTTTCAGATTGATAAAACAACAACAATAACAACAAACCTTTATCTCACTAAGTGAGGTCGGCTACAAGACTCCTTTTTTAAATGATTTAAATGATTCATGTCATGATTATTTTGACAAAAAAATTACACTAGCTATCGACTCCTAATGAAACCCTCCACTTTTCGCATCCAGGGCATCGGACCCGACAATGGCAGTGTTTTTCAAATTAATACCACAATCGCATTAAATCTTTTTAATTGCCACCATTTACATAACCATGCTACTGAATATAACATAATTGTAAAAAAAAATGTCAGAAACACGAAATGCATATTTCTTGACTAATCAAAACCCTTTGAACCAAATAAAACACAAATATTAAGGTTTTACAAACACAAAGCATACTTTTGAAGTCTCGAGCATTAAAAAATAACACAAGTAAATTGTTGCCTTCCTTGTATATGCAAGCTAAAAGTTCAGCAAAAGATTATAGTATTCTGAAGTCCCAAACTGATTGCTCAAGCTATAAGAAGCCATGAGGTTTACCAACCCAAGTCGGTAAAATTTGTATGATATTAGCTTACTGTTAATGAGAAAATACCATATTCAAAATAATTTACATTTTTCTTGCAAACGCTGTCAATTAATCAAGTTGAAACGCCTAAAATTCATCAAAAAAACAAAAATAAAAACTCAAGCAACAATATGTAAACTGAAATGAAGTTGAGGATACCTTGGTGATCTTATACTGCGATACCTTGCATTTGGAGATCTTGATCGACTTCCCCGACGGTCTCTTTGGAGTCTAGGAGAACCCCTTCTCCTCAAAGGTGATTTTGATGTTGATCTTCCTCTCCTTCGTGGAGAGTCATGCTTACGGGGGGATCGTGATAGGTGTCTCCTCGGAGAATTAACCTTGTTCTGAGGCTCTCTCCTTGATGCCCTTTCAGAAGGAGATTTTGGCCTCTTAGATGGAGATGAACAGTCCCGAGAAGAAGCTCTCTTGTTACCCATGCTGCGTTTTTCAGGTGATGGAGAACGCCGTCTTTTTGAAGATTGTGGAGAAGGTGCTGATTTCACGTCAAACTTTGAAGGAGATGACATATCTAGCCTAGGGGATGACATATCTAGCCTAGCAGAAGCATGGCCATTAGGAGGTGATTGACTGTGAGAAGATCGTTCTGCAGAAATAGATAACCGTCTCTTTGGAGATGGTGAAACATTTCGAGTTTCCTGGGTAGATTGCAGGCTAGAGTTTGCCCATACCATTCTTTCATTCTCAGGTGTAGCCATCTTGGGGGAGTAATCACGAACTTCAATTTGATTTTGGAGCTCAGAGTTAAGGTTCAAATTTCTGTCATCCATTTCTTTATTAACTTCAACTTCCTCAGTCTGAGGGTCAACAGAGAGTTGATCATAGTTACCATTTGTGACAGAAACAGAGGTAGAAGGCTTTTTATAGTATTCCCTATCATTATCTCCTTGATCAGAGGAACTTTTAAATTTGTGATTCAAGCCGTCATCTTCTACAATGACTTTAATATCTGTATCAGCATCCATATCATTCTCATATTTATCATCGGGTTCATCAGGGCTTCCTACTCTTTCAATTACATAATCAGATGTTTTGCTCTCAGCTTCTTCTAATTCATTCACCTGTAATGAAGAACCTGCAAGATTAAACTCTACTGCTACTGATGTATCCTGTGCCTCCTCTTCATTTGAGAAAACCTTCATTTCATCATGTGGCGTTTCTTTGCTTTTAAATCGATTTAAGTCCACTTTGTCAGCTAGAGAATCCACATCTTCCTCATTAAACCCAACTGTAGTCTCTAAAGGTGAATTTGTATCCATCCTGCAGTCAAAAGTTATGAAATTTCAAATGTCATCTCTACCAGCAATCCAAAATAACCTACTTCTGATTACACAGATGAGTTAACAAGACTATAATTCATATAAAGAAAAAAGAAAAACCATATCAAATAGACTTAATTCCCAAATCCGAGAACTAGGATAAACACAAACCTGCTGATCTATCTTTTGACATTATTGGGAAAAAGAAAGTCAATGGAGATTTAAAATATATCAACCGTACAGTTCCAGAACCAAGAACTGATAAAACCAATTTCAAACGGTGTGCAAACCAATCAACCAAATCCCAAATCAGCAATCATAACACTGCGGAACCCACTAATGTCTAAAATAAACAAAAGACTAAGAAAAAAAATAGAAAAATTCGGCCCTAAGAAAAAATAATTAACATTGCCTGCACGAATAACCCTAATTTCGCAGGCAAAACATGATCTCAAAAAGAGATGCCTGAAAATCACAGAAACAGCGTGGTCTAACCAAAACTAAATGAAAAAAACAAACATCATAAAAAAATCGTTAAGAGACGATGAAAACATTCGTCTCAGAGTGCAAATGCTAGCGTGAATCTAGTCAGAATCATTCATACAAATTAAAAAAAAATGAAAGAAAACACAGAAATTCGACTGGAGTAATACGTTTTTAGTGAATTAGACATGAGAAATACCTGATCCAACAGAGAAAGGGAAAGTATGGGAAGAAAGAAGAGGGCGGAAAACGCTTGAAGGAAAAGCTCAGAGAGAGAAGCGATATCAGATCAACTGCGTACATGAGCCGGGAACAGTGTAGGGATGAGAATTCGTTACCGCTTCAATAGCGGTGACGGGACTCTATAGGATTTATTAGGCCGAGGCCCAATGAAACCATTCACCCCATAGAGATGGGCAATATTCTTGAAGAACAAAATGTTTATTTGAACAAACAAGCCCACATATTATTATAGCATCACTATTATTATTAATGTTTGTTGTAAGAATATTATAAGCATAATATAATATAATTAACATCATATATATATACATAAATTCTATTGATAATGGATTGCTATCAATAGCTTTATTTTCAATTTGTTGCCAATTTTAGCAACCTTCATAAATTATACCTTAAGATGCTACAATGTTGATTGGCTCATGGATGGTTAGTCTAACGTATTTTCCTTGGTATTTATACACAACATTGCACATTATGTTTAATATGGGTATGTTTCCCCCATTGTCAGACAGTTCAACTTTTTTTCTTGACCAATAATATCAGTTATTAATTAAATATTCTTATAGATTTATTTCTTATTTCGATGCTTTCTGAAAAAGGCATCTTAAACTTTTAGTCGATGTTATATATCAATAGAAAGAAGGAGAAACTTTGGATAATTGGCATGTATAGCAAGCCATCACATGAAATCATTGGTTGCCTTTATTATCATGTTGTATGAGAAGAATATAAGTTCTCTATAGCTAAGAATCTTTGTATGACTATAGAAGGCCTATATAAATCGTCCAACTTAAATCATCCTTAAAATATTGTTTTTAAAGCCTAATAGATTACCCATTGTACCCATTTTTCTTCTAGGAAGTTAGATTATAAGTGAGAAAAATTTTTATCTTCTTTTTGACTACCAAAAACATCATTAATTTCCTTTGCAGTAATCTTTTCAATAAAACTTGCCACATTAAGCAAAGAAGACCAATCTTGCCACTAGTAGGAAGATTTGATATTGTCAATCTAGAAAAAGAGAAACTCAAACAATAGATGCCAATGCATAAGTTGACATTTGAGCCTCTAACTAAGCCTCAATTCTTATATTTACCATTATCAAGCATTGCAGAGAGATACACATTCCTCAGATCTTTAATTAAGAAGCTCATCAAGAAGAACCATCTTAACTACTATTAAATTGGTAAATAAGCCAAAGATCCATCAATGAAAAAACACCCCTTCTTAAACCAAGGGATGTCAAAATAATTGAAATGATAAGCTATTCAACAAAGAACCTTAACAAGATTGACTAAGTATGAAGTGCTTAAAAAAACTTTTGATTGATGAATATACGATCCATCCTAATTTTGGAAAGTTCCTAACCCAAATGTTGGGCCACTGGAATTGACCACTAAAGGTGCATTTTAGAGGCAAACCTTCATCTTTTTGAAGTAATATAGCATTATGAATAATCAGTAGTCATAAAACTTTAAGGAGTTATGAATTTTAAAACTTTGTTTATAAAATGTGAATGATTTAGTTAGTTGTGATATATTTATTGACTGGTGGTGATTGTTCACTCTAAGAATTATTTTGATGATATTCGTGATTGGGATGAGTGACGACAATAATACAAGCTATTGATGATGAGAACACATGTAATTGCTTGAAAAAATAGGAGGACGAAGGAGACTGATATTATTAGTGGAGATTAATTTAAAACATTATAATTTTTTTTTCTCTTCCTTTTCCAAATCATATTATCCTAACCAAATAAATAAATAAGATCTTCTTTGCGCTTCCTCAACGGTCAAAAATCTCCCCTTATCCCAACTTCCCAACCCAATCTCCTCTTCAGCTCCCCCCAGCCTCTCATTCTCCTCCCCCAGTAGTAACGGAAACAGAGAGGAAGCTTGCACCTTTTGCTTCCTCCCCAGACTCCACACACACAACGAGAGAGAGAGAGAGAGAGAGCAGAACACCTCAGTGTCACCATGTCTTCTTCCTCGAACCTCTCCATCTTCCCCTCCCCCAAACTCTCCCACCTATCCTCCCACTCTTCCCTCTCCTCCTTCCTCCCCTCCCCTCTAACCCCCACCACCAATCCTCGCCCCTCCACCACCATACACTGCGGCCTCCGCGACCTCCGCGAACGCATTGACTCCGTCAAAAACACCCAAAAGATCACCGAAGCCATGAAACTCGTCGCCGCCGCCAAAGTCCGTCGCGCTCAAGAAGCCGTCGTCTCCTCCCGCCCCTTCTCTGAAACCCTAGTCGAAGTCCTCTACAACATCAACACCCAACTCCAAACCGACGACATCGACGTCCCCCTCACCAAAGTCCGCCCTGTTCGCAAGATCGCCCTCGTCGTCGTCACCGGCGATCGAGGCCTCTGCGGCGGATTCAACAACGCCGTGATAAAAAAGGCAGTTTCACGTATCGCCGACATCAAATCCCTAGGGCTCGATTACATTGTCATTTCGGTTGGGAAAAAGGGGAATTCCTATTTCCTACGCCGGCCTTTTATTCCCGTAGACCGATTTCTTGAGCTCGGCAACCTTCCCACTACCAAAGACGCGCAAGCCATAGCGGATGACGTTTTCTCCCTTTTTGTTTCCGAGGAGGTTGATAAAGTCGAGCTTTTGTATACAAAATTCGTTTCATTGGTGAAATCCGATCCAGTGATTCACACACTGTTGCCCCTTTCACCGAAGGGCGAGATTTGCGACATCAATGGCGTCTGTGTTGATGCTGCTGAGGATGAGCTTTTCAGATTGACGACCAAAGAGGGGAAATTGACAGTGGAGAGGGAGACGGTGAGGACTCCAACGCCGGCGTTTTCTCCAATTTTACAGTTTGAGCAGGATCCTGTTCAGATTCTGGATGCTTTGCTTCCCCTGTATCTGAACAGCCAGATTCTGAGAGCTCTTCAGGAGTCATTGGCGAGTGAGCTTGCGGCGAGGATGAGCGCTATGAGCAGCGCGACGGATAATGCTATTGAGCTGAAGAAGAGTCTTTCCGTTGTTTATAATCGGCAACGGCAGGCTAAGATTACTGGTGAGATTTTGGAGATTGTTGCTGGAGCCGATGCCCTTATATAATCTGATGATTTCTGGGTTCTGCTTAAAGGGAAGTCTTTTCTTTATACCAAATCGGTTCTGAATGAAGAACTAATGCTTGATATGATTTCCATTTAATAAGAGAAATCTTCAAAAATCTATGTGTTCTTATACTTCATTTATGAAATCTTGATTTATGATTACAAATTACAAGCTGTTTTTCAGAGATTTTTAGATATAGTTATTTCTATTTTTTGAATACTTTTATGATTGTTGATTCTCCTACCGGTGAGCTTCTTCGAAATTTGTGAGCATACAACAACAACAACAACAACAACAAGCCTTTGTCCCACTAGGTGTGGTCCGCTGCATGAATAATTTTTCTTCATTTTTGTCCTATGAGTGTCATATTTTCATTTAATCCTTATAAATTATGATGATTTTTATACAATTTGCCCAAGTCTTTTAGGTCTACCTCCACCTTTATTAACATTAATATTTTCATTTAATCCTTATAAATTATGATGATTTTATACAATTTGCCCAAATCTTTTAGGTCTACCTCCACCTTTATTAACATTAGTCAAATCTAAAACATCTACTCTACTAACTGGATCATCAAATGATTGACGTTTAATGCGATCTAACTAGATGCCACTGTAGCCACACCAAGCCTTTCACGAATACATACTTTTTGCATTTTGGCACTCTCTCAAAGTGCCAAAAAACTCATCCACCAAAGGATTCTCATTTCAGCAACAGTTGAACTTAGTTTTATGTCTCTCTTATAAAGGCCTTATTCTGCGCCATAAAGCTTTGCTGGTCTCACTGCCATTTTATGAAATTTGTGACTATGCTTAGATATATTTTAATTATTTGTATTTTGTTTGTGTTTGTTAATGATTATTTTTTTTAATCTGAAATATGTATAAACTAATTGTTTCAAGTACTGGTGATAAATGAAAGCAGATAATGTTGGTTCCTAACTGCAATTTTTAAATTTTTTTTGTTATTTTGTCAATGCATGGCTGTGCTACGCCTATATCTTTCATGAGCCTTTGTTTCTTTGATAAGATAGGGGAAGATAGATTTGGTGCTTGATATTTGATAATGTTTAAGAGCTTTTGTTTGAGGGGAGTGATGGTGTGAACAAATCTCATTAGAGGGGGAGGAGAGATTGTTGAGATGCATAAGAGTATTTAGTCCAAACTCATATAGTTGAATAATATATTGGTGTAGAAAAATCAAACAATTGGGCCTCATGCATTTGTACTCTTCAGCTGAAAATGAATTTGAGTACCAGTATTTCTGCTAACTTGTTAACATCAAAATTTATTTTTTACATTTATACCGCCCAAATCTTGCACATTACATAAAAAATACCACTATTTTAAATTGTAAAAGATGAAATACACCTTTTCATGCATAGAAGTTTAGGTGTTAGATATCTAAATACATAGAAATAGAATGACATGTATTTAAATCTTCCTGAATTAGCCATAAGAGGAGATAAAAGTGAATGACATTTAAATGTTCAAATATTCTGACCATAAAAGGAGATAGATGGTAAATTATAGCATGAATTCTTACACATCATGACATATTTTCCCACTTTAGTGCACATTTTTTTTTAAAAAAAGACATTTTTTGTTTAATTATTACCGAATCAGAAATAGGAACTCTACTCCATGGCTTATTAGCCATGATTTCCCTTAAAACTGCTACTCCATAGTTTGGTATGCCGTGGCTAGCAAAGTTTCTCTGTATTATTCATTGGTTGAATTATCTTGTACTAGGGGCTATTAATCCATTTACTGCTAACTGCAATAAATTTCCTAAGCCTGATTGTTTGAATGCTACTTAATGGAGAACAGAATTGAGTCAGTGTAATTTGGATTACAACAGATGTAGTTTGATCACAACAGTCCTAGTTAGGTCACAATTATTGTAGTAGGTGGTTATAAGTTATAGTTGTTGGTTACAATAATCGTCGTTGGCTGCATTAGTTGTTGGTGATGGTCGATAATGACTGGTGGTTGTTCACTTGTATTTCTCTTCACGGGCAATGCTTTAGTTGTCAACTCATTCTTTTCTTCTCCTCTCCCCTGCAAGTGAAGAATGAGAGATTTTAATAGTTTATAAGAGGGCCATTTTGGTGGTAGTTAGACTCTCTAAGCAATCTGTTGAATGATCCAAGTTGACTCAATTGATCCTTAACAATCTCATAGTTAATTGATTTCAGACTCTTGGATTCCTCCTGTCGAGCCGCTCAATTTGACAATAAGCATGCAAAATTTTTAATTAACACTCAAAGGCACCAACTACACTTCAAGTGATTGATATGGGCTTACTTGGATTTGGATTGGATCACTTTCAGTATCATTAGGCTTGTATTGTTGAGATGCTTATTTAATATTTTTTGTTGAATTATTTAACATATATATATATATATATATATATATCTGTGTGTGTGCGCGCGCACGCGCGCGTGGTAGTTGCATGAATTAATGGTTGAAATTGTTAGCTAAGAAATTCAAAATAATAACATGCACCACCATAAATTGTGCGAGATAAACCTCTTAACATTATGGATGGAATAATTAGCATGCTTCTTCTTGATATGTCATCAGCAAATTTCTAACATCTGAGATGAATCTCGAGGCATCACACATATCTCAAAACAATCTTTTGAGCTAAAAATATTCAAATCTTGATAAAAAGTCATACAGAGGTTCGATTTCAACAAACTTACAGTCTACGTGACTGGCTCGACGAGATGGACCCAGCAGAACCAAATCAAGCCCTAATCGAGACGTTAAAGCATATTCAAAAGTTTTACACACATTTAGAAGGTCAAACATGTACCAAATCTAACGAGTTCATAGTCGAATTGAATATCTCGACAAGACAAATCCAATGAACTCAAGATCACTCAATTCTGACATTGTTAAGACACTCCAATGTCCATCAAATATTGTATTATCAAAGGAAGCACTCGGGACCATCCGATCAAAGTGATTCATATTCCAGCATTAATTGCACCCAGAACTCTATAAATAGAAGCCAACCTCTCTCATGAAGGGAGGAGGACTTGAGGCGTGAGGAAGAGCTTGAAGCTTTGAAAAAGAGCCTTCCTTGACCACCATCGACCACTGCAGGTGGCCGTCGTTCACCACTTACTTGCCATCGCCGACCACTATCATTCACTTCTCTTTCTTTGCAACAAATTTATCCACACGTTGATTTTGTAACTTGAGAAACCTTATAACTCTGTTCGACTTTGGGACAAATGGTTGCGATTGTAATCCTCATTAAATAACATAACTCTTCAACTGGGTCGGATGCCGTGATTTTTACTTTTACGGGTTTTCACGTAAAAAAATTTGGTGTCATTACTAATTGTTTTCTCTCTTCTGAGTGTGTGTTTAATCTTTGTATCATGCTAAAACGATAATATATTACTCTACAGCCGTGAATTTTCTAGCACACATCACTCCTAAATGTTATTATTAATATTAATTTATGTTGGAGAATTTTTTTGCCTTTTTCATATTTTATTGATTATTGTATCATTATTTGAAATAAAATAAACGTGTTTCTTCTTTCTCATCAAAGGCGATTAAAATTAGTTGAAGTTGCAAGTTTGTAACCTATAAAATATGACTTTTCACTTGTTTCACTGTACATTCTATTTCTATCTTAGATTGTATTTGTTAGGCTTAGATTTTAAGAGCTCATACATCAAAATTGGTGTCAAAGTCAATATTGTATTAAAATGACCATAAGTGAGGTTCCATAATAGAGTCAATTGACAAATTAACAAATGGAAACTATTTTAATTAACTTGTAAAATCAATTGAAAGAATTCTTATCAAAATAGATAATGATATATGTGCGCCTTATTTAAACTCAAAATCAATTTATGAATGCTCTTTCGAGAATGCTAAAATTGTTAGCATGCATGAATATATAGATATATGTGTGTCTTCAAACAACTTATACATGACAATGCTTCCATATAGATATATATAGATATATATAGATATATGTGTGTCCATGCGCTCGTGTGCTGAGAGATATGTTGATATATTTTTTTCTAATGGGTAATATAAAAATTGTAATGTTGAGATATATGAATATTTTATATATTGTTTAACATTATAAGGGATAATTAGGCAATAGTTGACATTCCTCATATGTTGTAAGAATAAAATTTCCCACCCTTCAAGCTTTTCCATCATATTCTAAAATAAAAATTAAACAAGCCTATAGATTTAAAGTTGATCTATACTTAATAGGACATCACCAAGTTATTGGGGCAAGTGCGAGCCTTCAAACAACTTATACATGACAATGCTTCCACATGCTCTGCAACAACGTATGGACTATAACTTACCCAAGTTGAATTTAATTAAAATTCAAGCAAATCAATAATTGACCTCATTTTTTCAAATGTAAGTTTCAATTATTTTTTAATACTAATTAAATTGAAATTAATTACCCCTAATTGCAGCTTCATTTACACTATTACACCCTTTCTATCTTATCAACATAATATCTAGGTAGCCATGCAATTATTGTAATTGGGGAGCAAACTATACGAGCCTACATCAACAATGTCGTAGAGCTTAGCTAGCTATATATATATATAATAGTAACACCTAGACTTTCGTATTTATATACATAACACTCAAATCTTTAATATTACATCAAAACTATAACTATTACCATTACCTTTCAAAAGTGATGTACACATTTTTTTAATTAGTTTCATGACCTCAAAATATTATAAATGTAAATATGAAGGTTTAGATGTTAAATATATAAATAGAAAGGAATTGTGAGGTGTGTATGTAAAACTCTCTCTCTCTCTCATATATATAGCTTAAATAGCTCTTGAACATTATAAGGAATGGACATATGCATATAACAATGGAACATTAACATGATTTTATTATAATAAGACACTAGTGCTTGGCTTTTGTAAGGAGAAGCACATGGTGTGTTGATCATCTTAATTGAATGCCCACATTATAATAAGATTTAGAATATTTATTTTCATAAAAATTTAGAAATAAAATTAAATATTACATTATTTGAATACAAAAAATTATAATAAGAATATTGTGCTGCATTGTCCAAACAAGAAAATTACGGCCAATACTATGTGTTTATATAT